AGAACACAACAAATGGAAACCACATACAAAACTGAAAGGGACATGTGGAACATGGTGAAAGGTTCTAGCATGTATGCAACACCATCTCCCTCCAGAAGGGAAAACAGTGAAAATGAGGTGAGAGCTACATTTAAGAGTAAATATTGGCCAGGCATAGTGGCTCACAACGGTAATCCCCAAACTTTGGGAGGCTGAGGTGGGTGGATCACAAGGTCAGGAGTTTGAGACCAGCTTGGCCAATATGGTAAAACCCCGTCTCTACCAGAAATACAAAATTAGCCAGGTGTGGTGGTGGGCACCTGTAGTCCCGCTACTCAGGAGGCTAAGGCAGGAGAATCACTTGAACCTGGGAGGCAGAGGCCGCAGTCAGCCAAGATCACACCAGTGTACTCTAGCCTGGGTGACAGACTGAGACTCCATCTCAAAAAATAAAAATAAAAAGAGTAAATATCAAGAACATTTCAAATGCTAAAAGATACCCAGCCACAGATCCAAGAAGTGCTTCAAAGTCTAGAGAGAGCAATTAAAATGAAAACCACAGCTAAACTCATCTTCTTGCTATACTCTCGAATGACAGAGAGAGAGGAAATTGTGGTGTTTCTTCCTCTTCTTATAAGGGCACTAATCCCATCATAGGGGCTCCACTGTCATGACCCATCTAAACCTACTTACCTCCCAAAGGCCCTACTTCTTTAGACCATCCAATGGGGGTTGGCGCTTCAACATATGAATTTAGAGAGGATACAAACATATAGTCCATAACCAGTGGGTTCACAGCCAGCTAGAAGTTACATCGCAAATAGCAGATCTGGGGACAAAATCAGTTTTTGTTTATTTTGATTGTTGTCCTGTTTTATTTACTCCCAAACCAATACATTAAATCATCACTATATGTCAGTTGCCTTTAAAGGAAAAACAACATTTCATGCATTTTTAATGCGGTCGTAATGAGACCTTGAGTCATCTTAGCAAATATGTGAACAAAGTTTTCAAAAAAGTAAAAGAATTATTACTTACATCACTTTAATTGTGGCAACTAGTCAAAGTTATCAATTCACTGAACAAACTTACTGAGCATGTGCTAAGTGTCAGCCAACATATCAGGCACTGATAATATAATACAAAATAAAAGAAGTGGTGACTGCCTCCTGGAGCTAATAATAACATTAATTATAAGTTAATTGAGTTCTTTCATTAGATGGTAAAAGAAAACAAATAATCATAAATTCTGATATACACTATAAAGAAAACAGAGGTTATTTGATGAAGAATTATAAACCAGTGCTCGCTTAGGTGGCATTATGAGGGACAGTTTCTCTAAGACCATAACATGTAAGCCAGCAATGCTTTATAATCATCATGATAACTATTATGCATTGCTCAAACAGGAACACATTTGAAAATGAAAGGGACACTTTTAATAATTATGCAGGGTTTCAGGGCAAACCATAATATGTATGCACCCTACTTCTAAGTCACAGTAAGGAATATAGATTGTCTAAATGCAATAGGAAGACACTAATGTTTTTTACAGGGGTATGTTTATTATCTGACTTTTAAAAGTTCTCTCTAACTGCCAGTTGGGAAATTAATGGGGTGAGAGGCAAGAATGGAGGTAGAGAAAATATTCTAAGAATATTATGCCCATCTAGGCAGGAGAGGGACAGTAGCTTAGATTGATAAGGCAGTGAAGGTACAGAAAAGTAGGCAATTCAAGATAAACTTTAAAGACTATCAGCAAGAACAGTGAAGTTATACAAAATATTACATTTGCATTTTAATTAATATTTTAATGAATGTACAAAAAATTATCCTAAAGCCTTGTCAGTGGATCTGGAAAGGAACTTCTCAACCTTATTCACAGAGCTATAAACATGAAGAACAAATTATTCACCTGTATCAAAAACCATAAAGAAAAAACCATTTAAAAAAAATTGTCTACTAAATTATCTCCCCTTTCTTCTCTACCAACCTCAGTTTTTAGGGTTTTTTTAAAATCTAAATTTTATCAATTTGTAAGTTTGCATACATTTGTTTATGAAGGCTACTAATCTTTCATCTGTCACATGTGCAGCAAATATTTTCTCCAGGCTATTGATTTTGTTTGGGGGTCTTTGCCATTTAAAATACTTTTAATGTATAGGAAAATGTATCTAACCTTATGGCATCTGGGTTTCCTGATGTAGACAAGTTTGTCCCTGTTTAAAATATTATATAAATATACACAAAAATGTAATTCTATTATTTCATGTATCTATTTGTTCACATTTAAATCTGGCATTGTCTCTATTCTCCTTGGTGTTTCTGAATGTCATAAATTTTTATTTTTATTTATTTTATTTATTTTTTTTTTTTTTTTGAGATGGAGTCTTGCTCTGTCACCTGGAGTGCAGTGGTGTGATCTCAGCTCACTGGAAGCTCCACTTCAGCTTCCCAAGTAGCTGGGATTATAGATGCTCACCACCACTCCTGGCTAATTTTTGAATTTTTAGTAGAGATACGGTTTCAACACATTGGCCAGGCTGGTCTCGAACTCCTGACCTAAAATGATCCACCCACTTCGGCCTCCCAAAGTGCTGGGATTACAGGCCAGAGCCAACATGCCCGGCCTGAATGTCATAAATCCTACTTTGACCTCTAATCGATTTCCAAATCTCTAGTTCTATCAATAGCTGACTACCTGTTGGACATTGTCACTGATAGGCAAAATTGAAAATTCATGTCAATATTTTCCCCTATTTAAATAAGAATCTGCTCTTTCTTCCTTATACACTTAGATAAGTGAGATATTCATTCTAGAAGCTTTGGTTTGATTTCTCCTTTCCTTTACCCAACACTCTGCCCACCAGCACCACCGGTCTAATCACTGCATTTGATGTCATAGCTTCTGCCTGCAAAATGTGTCAGGCATCCAACCTTTTCATTTCCCCCCCTTTTTTTCCTGGTGCCAATGCAATTCAGGCTTACATTATTTACAACCTGAAATATTTACTGCAGAAGTATTTTCCTAAACTCCATGATGAACCAAATCAGGCCATTATTGTTCATAAATTTTTCACAGTATCCTTTTATTTTTAAAGTCAAAATTCATTGTTCTTGGCGGGGCACAGTGTCTCATGCCCGTAATCCCACCACTTTGGGAGGCCGAGGAGGGCGGATCACGAGATCGGGAGTTCAAGACCAGCCTGACCAACATGGTGAATCCTTGTTTCTACTAAAAATACAAAAATTAACCAGTCAAGGTGGCACATGCCTATAATCCCAGCTACTCAGGAGGCTGAGGCAGGAGAATCGCTTGAACCCGGGAGATGGAGGTTGCAGTGAGCCAAGATCGCACTACTGCACTCCAGCCTAGGCGACAGAGTGAGACTGTCTCAAAAAAAAAAAAAAAAAAAAAAAAAAAATCACTGTTTTTATTTAATGTCATTTTGTGACATATGACTATTTATCAGGCAAGACTCTAGATTCTGTGGATTCAGCATTGAAAAAATTAAAATGAAATGAAGAAAGTTCCTTCACTCATGAAACACATTTTAGTGGCTATATCTGGGTTTAAATCTTGGATCCAGCATTTTAAAATTTGTGATCTTAGATAAGTAAAATTTTTAAAGCCTCTGTTCTTTCAGCCATAAAATAATTTTTTTAAGTAGGGAGGAGGAGGAGATATAATGTATAACATGTAGACTCTTGTAAGAAATAGAAATTAGATAGGTTGAGAGATCATGTGATTCATCCAATAAATGTTGGCTCTTGTTTTTCCTGAACTGTATGTTTTTTCCTTGTCCCAAAGCTAGCCTTACCTCTCCCACACACTGGGGTTCATTCATGCTTTAGCCCTTACCACCTTTTCCAATTTATTAAAAGGTACATGCTCAATTTTAATATTTGCCTATTTTTATTTTGAAATCTTATTGAACTTGCATCTATACTTTAAAATGACGCAGAACTTAAAGAACTCAAAGATTATGAAGAAGACTCAGCATGTGGGAATAAATTGAGAATAGGGCTGGGCACGGTGGCTCATATCTGTAATCTCAGCACTTTGGGAGGCCAAGGCAGGCAGATCACTTGAGGTCAGGAGTTTGGGACCAGTGTGACCAATGTGGTGAAACCCCACCTCTACTAAAATATAAAAATTAATGGGATGTGGTGGCAGATGCCTTAATCCCAGCTACTCGGGAAGCTGAGGCAGGAGAATCACTTGAACCCAGGAGGTAGACTGCAGTGAGCAGAGATGGTGCCACTGCACTTCAGCCTCCAGTGGTACTCCCTCTCAAAAACATAAATACATAAATAAATAAAATTAAATTGATAATAGTAATAAATATGAAAGTAACTAAATTTAGCTTTCTTTTATAACTACATAACCAAATATCAACCATCATTTTTTGCCCCTCCAAATTAAGAGAATTTAAAATGCAGATTCTCCCCACCTCCTCTTCCCATTCAATAGAAACTAAGAAAGAAGGATTTTATTCAGGTCTTCACTCCATCTGTGGTTCACATCCAGTGACCTAAAGGTTAGAAAGCGTTCATTCCACCAATAATTACCAAGCACCTATAAGCTACCAGGAAATCTTACAAACTCGAGGGAAATCCTGGCTCCTCCTATCATGAATTTTGCATTCTCAGATAGGAAATATGGCTCTGATGCCTGCTGGGGCAGTGGTAGCAACCTTTACTGCATGTGAATTCAGTCATCCTTTGGTATCTTTGGGGGATTGGTTCCAGAACCTCTCACTGTTACCAAAACCCACAGATACTCAAGTTTCTGGTATAAAATGGTGTAGTATTTGCACATAACCTATGCATATCTTCCTATATACTTTGAATCATCTCTAGATTACTTATAATGCCAATGTAAGCACTATATAACTAATTATTACATGGTATTGTTTAGGGGATAATAACAAGAAAAAATCTGTACATGTTCAATACAGATGCAATTTATTTTTGCTCTGCTCTTGGTTAAATCCACAGATGCAGAACCCACAGACATAGAGGCCAACTTTACACTTAGAGTTACAATTGATGTTGGAGGTAATTTAGACAACTTCCAACGTGGTATAGAAATCTGTATACTAGAGCATCTCTACCAGAACCTTTCATTCAACACTTGCTTGGATGCCTTCAGCAACAGAGAGCTCAGTACTTCAGCCTTCCCACTTGTAAAAAGCTTCGAATGTTAAAAGTTCTTAAATTTTTCTGGCTTTTACAATATTTAATAGCAGCTTTATATCTCTTTTCCAACTTTCACAATCACACAGCTCCCTAAATAAACATACCTAATCTTTCAGTCATTCCTAAATATAACACTGTTATTGGTATTGCTAAAGTCCCTTCAAGATTCATAATTACTTCAAATATTCCCTGACCAGGGACTACCCTGGCTCACCAGCTCAGAATATCATGAACTATACTTCCTGTTTAAGTATTTTAGGACTGAAATAATTCTAAATGCTGTGGTCACCCTACCTGGTTGGCTTACACTAAAACTTTGCCTCCTTTGGGATATTTGTTGCCATTAATACTCTGTGGTACAGCTCAACCTGAGGGACGCTAACGTGTCAGAAAAACAGGTGAGCACGCAAGCCTAAGTGGAATATTATGCAATTCTTGAGATTGAGGACAGCACTATGTGACTGTCATTTAATCAAAATGTAACTATCAGCTTAGACTATCCTTTAAGCCCAGATCGAAAAGCAGAGTTTCAGGCTTATAGGAAACCAGACGTAATCATTCAAATAAAATTACTGATACTGTACTTCATGTGAGCAAGGACAGCATATTAACATATTATTATTATGCCCACTTGAAATATGGTTATTTGCTGGCAGGTAGGTTATAAAACCATCAGATTATATGTACATGTTTTGTGAGTTCTTAGAAAATACTTCTTTCATTCAAATTCTTAGTATTTATTTTACATAAATGGGATTCATTCAGTTAAAATAACTGTGAAAATTATTAGAAAATTTCAACAAATCAGTTTTTAAATTTTTAGAAAGATCCAAAATGTCCCAGGCCTCCACATTACAACCAATGATCAGCATTTAAAGAGAAAATACACAATTTTGCATCACTACATATAGAGAATATGTGAGTTTTTAAAAATGAAATAACATAGAGTTTTCTAATTAATAATTTATTCAAAAATACTCAGAAGGAATTAAGAAATATGTTCTAAGCAAAATGATACCTTGTTGAGCCCACAAAACAAGGAGGATATAAAAATGTATGGGGGTAAAATACTTTTTATACATGTGTTGACTACCTTTTTCAAGGATTACAGCTATTGCAGCAATAAAAAAAAATCAGAATTCAATAAACGTTTTGAAAGTTAAAATAACATAAACGTTTCAATTTTTGAATTTTTTCAAAAGTTTAAATTCCTCTTTACGCTAAGCAGAAATAGAAATCTAAAATGATAACAACAACAATAATAATTACACAATGTTTACAAAGCCTTTAGAATTTTCAATATTCCTGTGTCTGTGGTTGAAGCAACAAAATTAAAATGATATAGTCACAATTTGTTTCTTGACTATTTTATATTCAGTAATTTTTAATGAAGCAACTAAATTAGGCATAACTTTCTACAGCTTAAACACAGGTATGATGAATATATTTTACTTGATTAAAAATAATAAAACCAGGGAGCCTTAAATTTTATCTTAAAAGATTAACTACTGTGTCAATTACAAATCTAGGAGAAAGGTATTTATAAAGGAATAACTATTCTGAACAGTAACTTCCTTTTGTTCACTTCATTTAATTAATGACTCAATCAGCTTTCACTCTTAATACTAAAATTTTCCTAAATTACACATTGGTTTGCAAATAGGATGGCATATATCAGGGCTATGTCAACTTAACACTGGTAAAAATTCAGCAGATAATTCATTTTTTATTTAATCAAGAAGGAAAAAACTAGTTGGCAGTGTAGAGCGACATAATTAACTAAATAACTGCCAATTCTGCATTGTACTTTGTGTTACATGACATATCATGAATAAATACCAGTCAAAAATCGAATTATTTGGATACTTAAATGATGATGAGGCCTGCTGTGCCAACAGGTATGCTAATGAGTAGACATCTCCCAGACTCAAGACTGAGTGAATGAGGCAAATGTTTTCACCTCCTAATCTTTTAGGGTGTTCAATTAACGCTAAGTAAGAAGTTCCCTACTATTGGGAAAGAAGTAGATGTAATCATCTATATGCTTATTTTGTCAACAGAGGAAGAAAAACTTGCAAAGGAACAGTTTTGGTATATGTATCAGATTTTTATACAATTAAATGGTCATAGATGACAATTTTCACCTAAGGAAGACAAGTTTATGTTCAGTTACCAATCGCCTCTAAATAGGGTAACCGTCTTCTGATGGCAACTAAAGTTAACGATGTCTTTCTTCTAAAACCTTTCTAAAGAGCACCCTGCAATCTCACCTTCGAGCCTCAAGCCCTTTGCCTTGAATTAGTAAGGTGGCCATACCGCCAATTTCAGCTGTTCTCCTTCAGTCCTGTAGTCCACGCCAGGGGATTCTCCAAATGCTAATAAAAATCAGTTTCCCTGACAAAAGAACACATACATGAATGCTTTTGTTTTTCTTTTAAAGAAGGGGGTCAGGGAGCATCTGACCGACGTTTTTAAAGGAAGGGGACAGCTACTCGCTTGGGACTGCATTTTAGTTGTGCTAAAAGTGATGGAAGTGGGTTAGCATTATTCTGCCACTGACACCCAAAAGACCTGCCCACGGAAACCCCTGCCAGAGAAGCGAAGTTTACCGAAACAGCGCTCGGGCAAGCGCTGGCACAAATTCAAAACTAACTCTGCCGGGCCCGCGGGGGTGGCGAGAGAGGGACCTAACGTGAAACCCGGGGAGCCCCGCGTCTCTTGCCTCCGAAGGTCTGCCGCGACCAGCGTCCCCTTGTCTGCTGGAGTCGGAAGTGCCTGTCACCTGCGGATCTGCCCGCCTCTGCCGGTCCGCCCTTCTCCTCGCCCAGTTCGGACAGTCTCGAATTCCCCGTCGCAGCCCCGGCCGCCAAGGACTCCGGGTCCCCGGCCCCCGCCCCCGCCCCCGCCGCGCCCTCCCCGCGGTCCAGGCCTCTCCAGGCGCTGCCGGGCGCTCATTGGCGGCGGCGCTGACAGCAGGCGGGGCCTGGAAGTCGCGGCCAAGCCCGCCCTCGCGTATAAGCCCCTCTCAGCGCTCTCTCTCCATCTCTCCCCTCTCTTTCTCTCTCGCTGCTCCCTTCCTCCCTGTAACTGAACAGTGAAAATTCACATTGTGGATCCGCTAACAGGCACAGATGTCATGTGAAAACGCACATGCTCTGCCATCCACACCGCCTTTCTTTCTTTTCTTTCTGTTTCCTTTTTTCCCCCTTGCTCCTTCTCCCTCTTCTTTGTAACTAACAAAACCACCACCAACTCCTCCTCCTGCTGCTGCCCTTCCTCCTCCTCCTCAGTCCAAGTGATCACAAAAGAAATCTTCTGAGCCGGAGGCGGTGGCATTTTTAAAAAGCAAGCACATTGGAGAGAAAGAAATAAGAAAAACAAAACCAAAACAAAACCCAGGCACCAGCCAGCCAGAACATTTTTTTCCACCCTTCCTGAAAACAAACAAACAAACAAACAATCATCAAAACAGTCACCACCAACATCAAAACTGTTAACATAGCGGCGGCGGCGGCAAACGTCACCCTGCGGCCAAGGCGTCCGCCTAAAGGGATGGTTTTCTCGGCCCAGCAGCTCTTCGCCGACCACCTTCTTCACTCGTGCTGAGCGGGATTTTTGGGCTCTCCGGGGTTCGGGCTGGGAGCAGCTTCATGACTACGCGGAGCGGGAGAGCGGCCACACCATGCGAGGTAAGCGAGTCTGCGGACACCCAGGCTCCCCGAGTCCGGCCAACTCCATCCAGAAGGGGAGATGGGGGAGGGGAGGGCACCCAGCCGAAGGGGAAAGAGGTTGCCCAGGCGCAGTTGCCGAGTTCGCTCTCGCAGGTGGGGCTGCAAATGGCCTGGGCGTAGAAAGTTGTGGGAAGGTGTTGCTGCCTCTCGGGAGTTCTGGAGGGACGCGGGAGGGCGCTTTTTTGGAGAGGGAGGAGAGGCTAGTTGGATCCGACCAGTCCTTGAGTTGCACTGAATCTTTTTTGCCTGTCGCTCTCGGGTGCGGAAGCGGACGCGGGATGGAGAAAGCCGAGGGAGGGATGCCTCTGGGCAGGAGCAGCTTGGAAGCCCCTGCGCGCAGTGGTCGCTGGCCAGGGTTGGGCGCGCTGGGCGCACAGGCGGGAGCCAGGGTGGACAGGCACGGGCACACACTCGCCAGGTTACGAGGCGCACTAGCGTCCTGGCCAGCAGGCAGGTCCCTTCGCAGGGGCAATAGGCAGAAAAGCAGTGCTGCGAGGCTGGACGCTGCTGAGATAACAGTTCGGCGCGCGCCTTCGCGCGGGCGCTGCGCCCAGGCCAGGTCCTCGTGCCCGAGCCCGAGCGGCCCAGGGAGTAGTGCGACCCCGGAAAAGTTGTAATGAGAAAGTTCTGGAGGCTTCGAAAGACCACGCTACTCACAGCCGGAGAGCCATGGGCTCCGGCTCTTTTGTCTGATAAAGGGGTCCGTAGTGGAAGGAGGTGCTGGGTGCATCCTCGGGCCAGGACCCTCGCAGCCGCAGGAGGTGGCAGCGGCGGGACCCCGGGGCGAGCTGGGGTCTGCGGGGATGTGCGCCAGGGGGTGTAGCTTTACACCTGCTTCGGCTGAACTCTGGGCCTCTAGAAGGGATGGCAGTTGGGCTCCGGGGAGTCACTTGGTCTCCTCTCCTACCTTGCGGGAGACCCCAGGTTTCCTTCGCGCTGTGCTCGGCCATTCTTCACGCTTTTACTGAAGAGCCAGGCAATTGTCCTCCTGACATTGGGGATCTGTGCAAGCCTCTGGGTGCCCACCCCCACCCCCGGTCTCTCTTCCTGGTCAGGCCGCGGTTCATCGGGGACTCTTCTCTACCCTTCGCACGTCCCCCTGGGTCTTGACAACAGAAAGTTAGTAACGGCCAGCTCCAGACTTTCCTACGTCCCGGACCCGGAAAGAGGTGGTCTAGGGAAGAAGCACTTGGGATGCAATCACTGGTCTTCTCCTTCCACTAGCTGTGATCCTCTTCCACTCACTCCCCCTACGCCCCGGGAGGAGCACCCCAGGAGGCAGCGGGTCTCACTCCCACTCCCTCTCGCACGCGGTGAGCCCCGAGCCTGGACTCAAGGGTTTGCTGGCTGGTTGCTGGAGTGTGTTAGGAAAGGGAAGAAGAAGAAGGAAAAGAGAGAGATTGTCCATGGGGGAAGGGGTTGACTGTAGATAAGAAACAAGAACGTCCTGATGGGATGGTCTTGATTGGCCCGCTCGCTGGGAGTGGGGCACCCTGTGTGCGCGCTGGCTCCAGCTGATTGTCCCTGTTGAGGGTTGGTTACATGCTCCACTGTCTAAATTCTTTCGAAAAACTATACTTGGGCAATTGGCGAGTACAGAACCTTTGCTTAGTAAGAGAGGCCCAGTCTTTGTTTTTCTTTTTCTGGCCCATCTCACCATCCCATCTATTCTTTCGGTTTCCCTTGTCCGGATCTGGAGCAGCCAATTCGTCCCTTCCCTTCTCCCCTTCTAACTTTCCCCCTGTGGCTGGGTTCGTACTTTCCAAAGGTCGGAAACTACGCGCCACCTCAGCTCGGACCCAGCACTAGGACTTAGGGCAAAAAAGCCGCTCACGCCCTGCAAGGTTAGAATGGAGAGCGGCGCGGGGTGGGGGTGGGTTAGTAGCTTGATCTAGCCGCTCCTGAAGCAGCAATTTGCAGATGACTGACCCGGTTCGCCACGGCGGTCGCTTTGAGAACTCCAGAAGCTTGAAGGGTTGAAAGCCAAGCGCTGGTCCTATGCTCACCTTGAGAAAACCAGTTTAAGCCCACACACCTATCCCAGAGGGCGCCAGCCTTGCCAGGATCCCGAGGACCCCTTACAACTTCTAACTTGAGACACCTCTCAGGCGGCCCATGGGAACGCGCTGGAGAAAATGTAAGCTTCAAAGATGGTCAGGTCGCTCTCTTGCCCTTCCTGGCTCTCCTTTCCTGGTCCCTAGGGTCTTTCCTCACGGACTCTTCCTATTTTCTGCGGACAGTGCCCTTCCACATTGTGAGAGACTGTTCAATAAGAATGGGATTGAGAAAAGATCCAGACTACTCTGACGTCCTGTGGAGTTGGGGGTTGAACTTGAGCGTGAACTTAGAAGTGAAAGCGGGAAAGGAATCAGCTTTCGCTCGTACAGGGCTATTAAGCAGCCTATGTTGGGAGAGGGGCCGTTTTTGATCTGGGCTTTACCGTGGGCCCACTCCATTTCCCTCATCCACGCGCGCGCTTTCCATTCCCAGGTGGCCCTCCTTAGCACCTAGGCTCCACAGTTTGCAGCTGACAACTGTCCTGGCTGGGGCTGCTTTGCGCGACGGAAAGGTGATCTAGGATTGAGTGGTCTCCCTCGGGGCCAATCCAGCAAACCTATTCCCTCGCCTACTCCTCCCTCGCCTAGGGCATTTAAAAGACTTTATCCCCAGGGAACCTACTGGGGAAGAAAAGGGTTAAGAGTCTCTGATCTCTGACGTCCTGGTCCTGCCCCACTGCTGAACTGAGTCCGGGACACAGCGCGGTGGCTTACTCTGACCGAGGTCGGAGGAAATTGTATTTGGTGGTGCACAAAGACTTTCATCCTTTGTCTGTGAGAAGGTACCACAGAAGTTCTAGAGAGGCTTCTCCATAGATTTCATTATTGAAAGGAGTAACTTCTGACGGGGAAAGGGAGGACCTTTAATTGGGCCCATCAATAAGTGAGAAAGAAGTGAGCCGAGGTGTGGGTTTCAAGGCTCCTTCTTGAAAGATCTGTGGGTGGTTTATCACACAGGGGCGCGGGAATGGTCGGATTTTTCATTCCTGCCTCCACGGAAAACACTGCTTCCAAAAACAGAGGCACAGATGTCGTCGCAATCAATAGGTGATTGTCGCTGGGGCGGATTAGAAATCTGGTTTTATGTTTGCTATAAACAAGGATTGGGCTTGGCTTTTTTAAAGTCTAGTTTTCATCTGTTATTTTCAGGTAGTTAATTTTTACTAAGTGCTAAACTTTAGAAAAGAGGCAGCTTGCTCTCAGAGGTATGGCAGCCCTTCAGAGGTATGGAGCTCAGAATGTCCTGCTGGCAAGGCCTTTAGGTTTCCTAAACAAGTTCTCGCTCTTAATTTCCTCCACAAGTTCTAATTAAATATTTCTAACCAACATTCCACCTCCTGCAATTAAAAAAACATTGCTGGAAGGACATCTCTGTTAGTAGTCCATTAATAATTGCTCATTAAGTAATCGTCAGTAAGCTGTCTTCATTCCAAGAAATGTTATTCAGTTTAAAAGGAATTCTTAAAGCTGTCATTCAAGTATTGTTTAAATAATATATAGTCGTAAAAATAAAATATTTTCTTAAATGCTTACATCTAGTGACTCTCTCCTCCTTCCTCCCCCAACATCATGGGTGAGTTTGTAACAAGTATTATGACACAGAAGTGCTTGGCATACTGGACTTCTGGGATAGGTATTAGTACCACTAAGGTTTACTTTTCTATATTTTCTAATAATCAAGAGTTGGGAAACCAGGATGAAAATGTAAATGAAGAAATTTTGAGCAGCAAACTTTATAAACATGAGGGACACAAGATTAAAACTCCTTTATTGGCATTTACTTAAAACTGACTAATCTTTGGATTTTGCATCAACCACAATATAGCTTTTGCTCATTGGTGAATGCCTAAAAGATGAGTTTTTGTATCATTATTAAAGTGGTTTTATGTGATCACTGAACAAATAAAAACATTATTTTATACTCTTAACCAAATATCAATGTTAACATTCACCTATTTTGGCAGCAATTTGATAACACTAAACTATGCAGCCATAAAAAAACTATTCAGGAGTTTATTTGCATAGATTACACTTTAAATTACATTTTAAAGTGTTTCCAAGCCATGAAGCCTAATTTTACTGCAGCAAAAATTCTATAGC